TCATAATATATTTTTATATTTTAATAAGTCATATTATTTGAATATTTGATCTACTAAATTTTAATTATCATATTTAAGGTATTTTATGGACAATTTAATCTTTATATTTTTTAAATTCTTGACAATTTCGTGTGCACTATTTTGGACTATTTTCTATTTTTTATATATTAAAGTTTAAAAACTCATAATTTTTGTTGTACACACACATATATATATATATGTATTATGAAATTTATATTTTTGAAACTCAGTTAACGAGATCTATTAAATAAGATCTTACTTGAATATGTAAAATTATAAAATAAAAATAAATAAATAAATTTGACAGTGTGAATGTTTTATGATGTGAGCATTCATATTAAATACATTTGACATCACACTGACAAATTTATTTAATGTGAATGTTCACATCATGAAACATTTACATTATTAATGTGAACATTAATACATGATCCACTCTATTATTATTAGGTGTATTTTAATAATTATGTCACCTATATAACTTATTGAAACATAAGAAAATAATTTACATAACAGTGAAATATAAGTAGGTGAATAGGGATTTGTAAATAAATGTCCCATAATTAAAAGGGCGAATTACACTAACAGTCCCTCTAGTTTGGGGCTCGTGTTACTTTGGTCCCTGACTTTTCAATTATGACACATTTGGCCATGGATTTTGAATCTTGTTTCAAAAAAGGACAATTGAAGATATCATTGTTCAATTTCAAGAGCAAAAGCATCAATTTGATAAAATATAAACTAATTTGACAAAAATAAATATCAACAAAATATTTTTAAATTTTTAAAAATTATTTCTACACACCAAAGATAAAATTATGTAAAATTGATAATTTTTTTACACATTTATTTATTTATTTTTACCAAATTAATTTTTATTATGTATTTGGATGATGATCATGTAATGGGTGGTTGTTAGGCTTTTAATGTGTAATCGATATATTTAATATAGGGTAAATTACACTGACACCCCTTAAGGTTTATATTTATTACAGTTCCCCCATCACATTTTGGAAATTACATTTCCTCCCCTGAGGTTTAAGGTTTCATTACAGTTTATCCCCTCAGCAATTTAATTTTTTTAAATACCAATTTTACCCTCATTGAGTAAATTACATTGACACCCCTCACATTTTAGAAATTACAATCCACTCCCTAAGGTTTAAAGTAGTATTACCAATTGCTCACTCGGTTAGTATTAGCCGGAAAAAAAATTAATTGAAAAAAAATTCATTGGAAAAAAAATTAATTGAAAAAAAAAATTATTTGAAACAAAATTTTGTTAGTAAAATGTTTAAATTTCTGTTTAAAAATCAACGTAAACTTCTTTTTTGAATTTATGTTTTTTTCTCAAATTTACAAACTGAGACAACTATTTATAAACCAAAAAAATTACCAAACAAGTTTTTATGACAGTTTTTAAATTTTTTGTAAATATAAATTAAAAACTGAAAACGAAATGGTTACCAAACAGGCTTCAGATGGAAAAAATGCCGTAAAATTAACAAATAATTAAATAAGTTACCAACGTAAGAAATGACTTATCAAAAAATTCTTAGGTTATGTATGGTTTGATTTTTAGAATTTTTTTTAAAAATTAAAAATTAATTTGGTTAATAAATAAAAAATAAAAAATAAAAAATAATTATGATTTTTATATAATTTTTATCTTTCGAGTGGTTATAAATAATTTTTTACAAATTAAATTGAAGCAGCCATACGTATGTATATAACCTGTCCAAAAGTTAAAATGATAATTATTTTTTACCCTTAAATGATAATTATTTTTTATTTTTTATTTCTTAACCAAATTAATTTTTAATTTTTAAATTTTTTTTCTAAAAATCAAACCATATATAGCCTAAGAATTTTTTGATGACTCGTTTCTTACGTTGATAACTTATTTAATTATTTGTTAATTTTATGACATTTTTACTATCTGAGCCCTGTTTGGTAACCATTTGGTTTTTAGTTTTTAATTTATATTTACAAAAATTTTAAAATTTTTCATAAAAACCTGTTTGGTAATTTTTTTGGTTTATAAATGGTTGTTTCAGTTTGTAAATTTGAGAAAAAACGTAAATTCAAAAAATAAGTTTACGTGGTCTTTAAACAAAATTTTAAAAATTTTACTAACAATTTTTTTTTTCAAATATTTTTTTTCCAATTAATTTTTTTTTTCAATGAATTTTCTTTCAAACTAATACTAACCGAGGGACCAATTGGTAATGCTACTTTAAATCTTAGGGAGTGGATTGCAATTTCTAAAATGTGAGGGGTGTCAATGTAATTTACTCAGTGAGGACAAAATTGGTATTTAAAAAAATTAAATTGCTGAGAAGGAATCTGTAATGAAACTTTAAACCTCACGGGGGGAGATGTAATTTCCAAAGGGTGAGGGGGAGAACTGTAATAAATATAAACCTCAAGGGGTGTTAGTGTAATTTACCCTTTAATATATGCAATACTTTTAGTTTTGGATTTTTTAATTTAATGAATTGGTTTAATAATGATATTAAAATTGTCGTTATATTTGACTTTTGAAAAAATGTAAACTAATTTAATGAAAATAAAAACAAACACTCATTACATGATCATTATCGAAACAAATAATAAAAATTAGTTTGATAAATAAATAAATAAACGTGTAAAAGATTTATCAATTTTATATAATTTTATTTTTTGTGGGTAGAAATAATTTTTAAAAGTACAAAAATATTTTTTGATATTTTTTTTGTCAAATTAGTTTATATTTTATCAAATTGACACTTTGCTGTTGAAATTGTGCAATAGTGTCTTTAATTGTTCTCATTTAGAACATGATTTAAAATTCAGGGTCAAATGTGTTGCAATTAAAAAGTTAAGGATTAAAGTGATACGAGTCCCAAACCATAGGATTGTTAGTGTAATTTGTCATAATTGGGTTGACTAAGGGGTTATTTGGGAAGACCTAAATAAGTGTACTTTTTGTCTTTTTACGAAAAGATGTGCAGAAAAATAGAGAGTTGATGTGATGGAAAAAAGATAAAAAGATAAAAAGATGGATTATTTTGGTGTTGTCAAACTTTGCTTAAATATCGATCCTTACTTGATGAAATCTCAATTGTTTGAAAAAAAAGCAAATTACTTTCAAAATCATAGTTTTTCAATTTTTTGAAAATTAATTAATTTTTAAATTTTTTTTAAATTTTATGTTTTAGTGAATATTTTTAAAATTTTAAGTATTTTTTTAATATTATTTTAGATGTACCTTATTTAGATGTAGCTAAAAAATAAAATATTTGTAAATAAATATTTTAAAAAATTAATAAATACACATAGGAAAAATATAGTGAATTTATATATATATATATTTTGTATTTTTGGTTTTTAGTGGGTTTTCTAAATATTTTTTTAAACAAATATTATACATTTTAAGTGTATTTATGTTAGGTTTATCTAAAAATTAAAAAAATTGCTTAAAATATTAAAAAAAATCAGAAAAAATATGAAAAATAAAAATATCAATTTTTTGAAAAGTGAATCCTGAAAATCCAAACTAAACAAACTGAGCCTCTTTTGTAATTTATTTTTTTAACAAATATAATTTAATCAAGTAGCTCTCCAATATTTTTTAAATCTAATTTTTTGTATAAATAATTTGTTTATACATTTATTATATAATAAACAACTTGAATTATCAAGATTGACTCGAGGTGAGCCCATCATAGTAGGCCACACCATTCAAATTTGACATCCATCTAATTTATTGAAAAAATTCATTAAAAATGAAAATAAGTCAAATTTTATTATAAAAAAAGGGAAAAATCAATGTTAAATGAATTGAAAAAATTCATTAAAAATGAAAATAAGTCAAATTTTATTATAAAAAAAGGGAAAAATCAATGTTAAATGAAAGTTGAGGAAAAAAATATCATAAAAATGGAAGAATGCAATTTTGAGTTGCACCTCCATAACTTTTGACTTACACCTTATTGTAGAATAACTTACAATCTTTGTTTCTGTAAATTTTTTTTTTTGCTCTATAAAAAAACTTACAAAAATTAATTTATTTTTATCATTTTCAGGATTTGTTTAAATTTTTTTAAAAGCATCTGATTAAAAAGTAAAAGGATTTTTGATATATACTTTTTAAAAATCATTCAAAAATAAAAATAAAAATAAGTGATAGTCGTCGGGTCGGGGCTAGTCATGACGAGTCAACCCAATTGGTTGTGTGTGGCACGCGTTATAGCAACCTTCCGTCACAGAGACTTTAAATTTTATTAAAAATGTTTTATATAGATATGAGGCCTATATAAGATTTATATGTGTAAATTTCACACTTAAATATAAGATATTTGGATAAAATATTTAGGATTCTTTTAGGATATAGATTGATTTTTCAGTTTTCTTAACTATATTAATTTAGAGTTAAAAAATTTCGTTTGAAATTGATTTTTTAATTTTTTGACTTTTGTGACAGAAAAAATAAAATAATTATAATTATAATTTGAATATAATATTTTATTTTATTAAATTAAAAAAATTTATTTTATTTTTTTGTAACTATAGTTAAAAAATTAAGTGATTGTCTGGTATATGCTAAAATAACACATACTATTTTAACACATTATCTTATTTAAATAATAATTATTTTATTTAAATTATATCATTTCTTTATCACATCATTTTATATTCAATTCATATTTTACAAAATCTTTTATAAAAAATTCCAAAAAAATATACTAAACTAACGCTTTTCAAACAAACTTAAAAAATGGACATCCCAAACGAAGACATTTTTCCTGCCCACCCTATACGCGAACGACGACGACACCACTCGTCATCCCTCCACATCACACGTGGCACGTTCGAACACTCTCGAACACACTACGCACTTCATTCCCGCCGATAACATCTTGATCCGACGGCTACGAATCCACGATTCGAACGTTCTCGAAATATAGCTTTTCC